TGTTTCACACAATTGTGTAGTGTCGACAATCGTGCCAAGTTAGACAATCTTTCCTGAGTCTACGTAATTTTCAGGTAGTTTTTTTGAGTTGGGGGACACTTCACTGTGCTGAGGGAGTGGCAACTGGAATCGTCATTAAAATTCTTAAAAGCTTTAGATTTAGAATTGAACCATGAATATTGGTTGCACGTTTAAACAATACAAGGAGGATGCACATGAAAAATTATCATCGTTGCAGGAAATAGTTCAAGATATTGATCCAAAGAAAGTCACTGCTATAACCACAGTTGAGGTCATGTTTTCTAGTAACAAAATCAAAGTGCTTGCTAATTCCTGGGGCCCAGGGCTACTACTACTAAGAGTAGTGCGTTCCCAGAATTACTAATATACCTGTATAATCCTTATTTCTTAATTCCCCAGACGCCAGGCTCGCTGACTTCAGAGTCAACCCCAAACCCTATAGAATGGTGCCTCACAAACACACGAGTGGAGGCCAGGAATGAGGTGGGTGGGTCGCCATTGCAGAGACAGGGACGGGGAAGATTGGGAGCCAGGAGAACCTTTGGAAGCCGCGGCGGATGGGGAAGGCCGGGGAGGTCGAAGTATAGGCCCAGATCACGACGGGCACGGCAGGCCACCTTAGGGAGCACAGTGATAGGTCTCAAGGGCACACGGCTTTACTAAGGTCCCAGGAACCCATACGGCTGTGTAGAACCCACCTTTCCTGTTGCCTACGGGCACACTCGCCCTTGCCTGCGGCCCAGGCGCAGCGGCTCCCGTCCTAGTGGAGGACAAGTAGCACGCGAGTTAACTACGACGAGGACACTTCAACCCGAGGCGCGTTAAGAGCGAAAGCAAGGAGGGACAGCGATGGGGATCGACCTCGGCGCAGCCAGGTTCTCTGCGGGACGCACATCAGGTGCTTCGACTCTGTAGATTAGGTGGAAAACCCAGCAAGAAGCCGGAAAAATTGGAGCAGCTACAACAGGCCCAATCGCCTTGCTCTGTCCGCAGAAGGCCCAGGACCGCCTTAGCCACCACAGTTTCCAGAGCTCAGAATCTCAGTGACGGGACGGAAGCGGAAGTCCGTCACAAAGCCCCGCCCAGGAGTGTGCGGTTCTGGCCGCGCATGCGCGGTGCATAAGGACACTCGGGGGCGGAGCCGCACACAGGTCGCTCGCTTGGGCCGACTTGGCGGGGCCGCACACGCGCAGTGCGACTACGCCGTTATGGGTGGGGCTGACACGAGCCGTGCGCGTGAGCCGTCGGGGGCGGGCTCGCGGGAGGCGGGAGGTGTGCTATGTGTGCCAAGTGGCGGCCGTCGGCCCACCGCTGCCGCTCGCTGCCTGTCTCGGCCCTCAGTGGAGGTGTGCGGGGTTCCGAGCGGGGGTTCCCAGCCCCAGTGCTCGTTGCGGCTCCCTGAGGCTTTGGGAACGCGACAGAGGGCGCGGGAAAGGCCTCCCGCTGTTGAGCTCCGCGGGTTGGGACCGTACGTGCGGGCCCTCTGGACCTCGCGAGGGGCATTTCAGGGAACCCGAGGAAGGCTCAGATGTAAAGGTTAGGACTAAAGAATAATGCAGGGATGAAGGGAAAAAAATTAGTGAACGTTATGAGGGGGCGATGGAGACTGAAACAGAGGAGAGGGCACAACACACCCCGGACAGAGGGCGACACCCTGGAATTGCAGCTGGAATCTCAGCAGGAGGAGGGACGGAGAGGGGAGGAGTGTGACAGGAAGGGGGAGAGAGAGAGAAGCAGTGACGGTTAAGAGCTTTCCCCAAACAATGAAAGATAGCAAACCACAAGTCAAAACTGCTTAAGGAAACACACAGGCAGGATAAATAACTTTAAAAGGAAAGGGATTCTATGTTTTCCAAACTGCTGAAGGACAAAGAAAAAATCTTGAAGGCGGCCAGAGGGAAGTTGCACAGGCAGGGGTGTGGGGGGCCTTCTGGGTGGACGGCAAGAGCAGAGGCAAGGCGCAGGGAATAACGGGGAGCTCCGAGGGTTGGTCCGTGGCGGGGAGTGGGGTGACTGCAAAGGTTAATAACCACACTGGAGGCCTGGCATGCCTCTGGGGAGCCCCTTAGCATTGCAGCACCGTTCAGAGCCTTGGATTTTCTACGATTCTGTTGGATCTCGCCATGCTTTTATGCATCTGTGGGAAGTGATAATGGGGCTTTCTGGCTTTCTTTAATCTGTTGCTATCATGAGTTGCATTCATTGGTTTCCCAATATTAAACCAGTCTTATATTCCCGGAATCAGATCCCCTCGGTCATGATGCTTCTTATATATTATCATATCAATTTGCCAAAATTTTTCCTGAAGATTTTTGTATGTGTGTAGATGAAGGATATCAGTCTGTAGTCTTCAAGGAACTGCTTTGTCTGGTTAACGGTATCAGGTTAAGCCTGGCAGTTTTGCTGTCCATGTAACATCAGCAACATAAAATCACAGGGGAAGTGTTATATTCTGAAAAAGTTTCTATATATTCTATCACTTCTTCCTTAAATGCTTGGCAATTCACTGGTAAAGCTATGTAGGCATGATTTGTCTGTGTGTTACTTTATTTTTTAGAAAAAAAATTTAATTTTGAATGCAATTTTCTTAATAAAAAGGTATATGGCTATTCAGGTTTTCTATTTGTTTTTGGGTCACTTTTGATCATTGGTGTTTTTTCAAGAAATCCATCCATTTCATCTAAATTATCAAATCTATTTGATTAAAAGTTGTTTACAATATTCCTTTGGTTTCCTTTTATTGTGTATACCTGATTGTGGTCATTTGTATCTTCTCCCATTTTTCTTGATTGTTCTAATTAGAGGTGATCAACTTTATTAAAGTTTTGAGATAACCAGCTTTGGTATTATAGATTTTTTTCTTTGTCCGTTTCCTATTTCTTTGATTTCTGTTCTATTTTCTTCTTTGTCTATGTTGTGTTTAATATGCCTTTTCTAACTTCTTAAGGTAGAAACTGAAATGACTGGTTTTCAACCTTTTCCAACTTAAACATTTAAAGCGCAAATTCCCTGTGAACACTGCTTAAACTGTGTTTTACATATCCTGATGTATTATACTTTAGTTTTCATTTAGTTCTAAATATTTCCTACTTTCTTTTGTGATTTCTCCTTTGAACAATGGTTTATTTAGAAGTATATTGTTTAATTCCCACATCTTTGGAAATTTTGCAGGTATTTCTTTGTTACTGATATTATTTTGGTACTGCAGAACGTACTCTATGATTTTACAGTCTTTAATACTTTGAGGCTCATTTTTATGTCCTAACATATAATGTCTCTTAGTGAATATCTCATATGCACTTGAACATAATGTGACCTAGAGCAGGTCTTGTACTTACTCTAAATTTGAGGTTTCTTGTCTGTAAGGGGTGCCCTCTGATTCCACATAAGAAGCATGCAGCAGGAGGCTTTGAAATGTGGGTATTCGTTGGTTCTGATGTGCCTGTGTCTTGATCTCTCAGATGGCGTGTGAGTCAGAACACCGTCCCTTGGGTGTATTTGAGTGCCAGCTCTGTGCCTTGACAGCTCCGTACAGCTATGTGGGGCAGAAGCCCCAACACCCAGTCAGTCCTGTGAGTACCAGTGTCCACTGGCCCAAGAAGCCCTGCCCAGAGCCGGCTTGCTTGAGTCTGACACGTGCCTTGGGCATTGGCTTTAGACCCACCCTGCCCACCTCTGGACGTTTCACTGTGGCCCGAGGGGGCACGGGGCAAGGCTCGAGGGCCATCCAGCTCTTCCTGAACCTGCGAGCCCCTTCCTTCCAGCTGAGCCTGGAGTCCAGCACCTTCTCCAGCTGGGGTAGCAGCACTGTGACTCAGGCTGGAACCGCTCAGCAGCTAGGTGTGAACGGAGCTGCGGCCGGGGCTTGTTCCATCCTGCTGGTTGTCTGCGGAAAACCCGCCTGCCTGTGGCTCTTGCAGTGGTGGGAGTGAGGGCTGAGGGCGGCTTCCTCTGAGCTGCCCAGGGAAGGCCTAGGGTAGAGCCAGCAGGTCTCCGGGCTTGATTCTCGTCCTTCATCAAATGGCACATCTTGAGGAAGTTGACTAGTGTGTCACTCACCTTGGACAAGTGGCAGGGGGCAAGGCTTCTTTCTTCTGGCTGTTTCTTCTGCTGACCGGGAACCGGGGTTGTCATCTTGGGGCCCCACGAGTCGCCTTTCTGATGCGTGCTGTGAGGCCAGCACTGTGCCCTGGTTCTCCCCGCCTGGAGGCAGACAGTTCGGGAGTGGGTGTCACCGAGCTGGTGTGAGGGGACAGCTCGAGAACCGGATGGAGGCCTCGTGCCTCCGCCCCCATCCTGGTGGGGCTGGGGGCTTGAGCTGTAGCTGCCCTCTTTCCGGCGGAAGAGGGGTGGTTGTCTCCACCGGGGTGTTTCAGAGCCCAGAGCAGGGGACCATCCCCTCCCCGACGCGCCGGCCGTGTGCAGGCTCCGGGGAGGTCCAGGCTGCCGCGGAGCTTCTGCCAGCAGAGGTTCCGATGCTGGCGTCACTTACTGTCCTACAGCCTGCTGGAGGAGAGCTACGTCATGAAGGACCCCTTCGCCTCGGACAAGGACAGATTCCTGATCCTCGGCTCGCGGTGCAGTGTATGCAGCAGGCTGGTGTGCGTGGGCCCGGTGAGTGAGCCACGTGCGGCTGTTCCTCTCTTCCTTCCCCACCGTGGCTGGGACTCCACACGCATGATCGAGGGACAGGTGACACTCTTCCGTCTGCCACCGTGTCTGGGACTCTACAGACATGATCGAGGGACAGGTGACACGTGACCCTTTCCCAAGGACGGTGTGTGCCTCCACGTTTCCTTGTCACAGTGACCCTGGGGTCCCTCATGGTCACTAGGTGAAGTGGCCGGGGCTGGTTCATAGAGGTCCGTTGGGTTCTCATATGGACGGCCCCTGCAGCCAGCGGAGGACAGGGGACAGATGCAGCGGCAAACTGGGGTGAATCAGAGGCTCTCCTTGGAGTGGAGGAATAGAAACAGATTGATGGAGGTTCTGCACCACCCCCAGACCCCCGATAATTCTCCCCCCGTCCCCTACCATCTGTGCCGGTGTCCGTGTGCCACTTCCCCTCCACCAGCAGTGCAGGTGGCCAGGTGCTATTTCCCCCACTGATTATGGAGGTGGCCACGTGCTGCCTCCCTCGCAACATGGCGGGATAGTCGGAGAGTGGGGCACCTGGGACCTGAGGGATCCGCCCTCCAGCGGTCACCCAGCGTACTGCCTGGGGGCGAAGTATGAACAAGGGAGCTGTCACAGGCCACATGGAAACAGCCGGCCTCCTGTCCTTCAGTGGCAGAAAGGTGAGGGTGATGAGGCTTAACAGTTGCAGGAAGCTTCAGTTTAGGCTCAGTGGGTGGTCCCCATAGCCGAAGCCCCTGACACCTGTGCCCGCAGGTTCTGAACTTGGCTGTGATGCTGACACTGCTTCACTGTTTCTCTTTTTCATAGGTAAAGCACATTCCTTGAGGTGCCCTGTTGGTCTCCCCCTGGCTGTTCTGGCTCTGGCTACAGCCTTTGCACCTCCTCTCAGCTGGGTGCATATGGCGGGGGCTGTCCCCAGCACCCCACCGAGCACATGGCAAAGGACAACTGAAAGACAGGGACTCTGAGAGGTAGAAACACTGTGGCAGCCAGACACAGAGGACTCCTTGTGCTCCCGGCCTGCCTACCACAGCCCACCATTTGGCCCTGGACCCAGGCCCGTGAAGGGCGCCCACCATGCTCCTTGGTACATGCCGGCCCACTTCAGCAGCATGGAGGGAGGGGTCTGGGCCTGTGGGAAGCACTCAGCAAAGCCATACTGCTCTGCACCCTTGACCACTGTGCCCCTCAGACCGGGTAGGTGAAGGGAAGGGGTGGCCGGCAAGACCCCATGCCCAGGCCAGAGTCCACACAGGAGCGGCCTTGGTTTGCAATCATGGCTCAGCTCCCTGAAGCCTGTGGACATTAATGACACTCAGAAATGTGAGGTTCAAGGTGGGATAGTCAATGCTTCATATGCTCCTACAACCAGAAAGTTCTAGTTCCGGTAGGGCAAAGTGTGAGCTTCGGGCTGTGGGTGCCCACAGCGGGCATTGTGTGACCCTGAGCGAAAGGAGGCGGGACCCTCCCTGGGGCTCATCCCTCTACCTCACCTGGGGAAGTAATTTGTGTGACGTACTGCTGCGGGCCACAGGAAGTGCAGGTGATGGGTGGCAGCTCTCCCTCCCTAATATCTCTGAGAAAAAAAAAGCCCAAGGCGGGGGGCCTAGCAGGCCATCCTGTGAACGGTGGTCTGTGCACTCCATCCCACCTGACACCACGCCCTGAGGGCCGGCACCTCGGGAAGGGCCCACTCACTTCTCTGGCCAGCTTTTCCACCTGGTCGTAGAAGTTGGTTCCGTTCAGCCTAAAAGAATAGATGCCTTTCACGTAGCTGAAAACAAAGCAAACATCTTTTTAAAAAGTGGACTGGCATCCTTGGACCCTTGACATGACCTGTAGGGCTGCCTTGTGTCCCCCAGAATGATACGTTTGAAAGTATTCTCTAATCCACACTGAGGGTGTCTGCAGATGTAACGAGTCAAGATGAGGTCATACCAGAGTAGGGTGGGCTCTAAATCCAATGGCTGGTGTCCTTATAAGAGAGATCTGGACACAGAGACACAGGCACAAAGGACAGACAGCCATGCGAGGACAGTGTGGAATGGCGCACCTGTGAGCCAAGGAAACCAAACTGCCGGCCACTGTGAGAGCCAGGAGAGACGGGAAGGGACCTCCACGGGAAACTTTGAGGGACCGGGGCCCTGCCGACGCCTTCGTGGTGGACAAGAGCGAATTTCATCTGTATTTGCAGCCGATCTCCAGCGCCAGCATCACTGCCTCAGCTCCGCATCAGATCATCAGACATTAGGCTCTCATAGGTGCCCCAAAATCTGATACCAGAAAAGTTGGTAACAGCTGGTGTACAGAGGCCAAAAGGTGAGGGAAAGGCACAAAAAGATCTCAAATACACCCAGTGGAATTCCCCGGCAAGCTAACTGCATTTCACCAGGCGTTTCTTGTATGGCCCTTAGGTTTCTAGAAGCTTCCTTGGTCCTTACGCTGTGTGGATGGAGTCAGTAGGCAGGGGTCTCACTGCTCCTACTAAAGACCGGCTCTCGTCTGTCATCGTCGCATGTAGACCCAGGTACGTCCCGCTCCTCCTCTAGCTCACCGCATGAGTCAGCTGTCTGGGCCTCAGTTTCCCCACATGCCACAGAAAGCAGTGGGACCTCACTTCTGACACCCTCCTCTGAACCATAGGCTCCTTCATGGGTGTTCGAAATGACTGGTGATATGGCGGAAGGTCTTGGAACAGCCACAGGTGAGAGCAGCAGATTCACGGATGAGCCCTATGACGGGGTCCCATGCCCGAAAAGGAGGAGCCCGCGTCAAACCCTTGCAGGCCACACCTCCTCTCTGCGAATGACCCCCTGTGCAGCTTTCAGAACCCTCACAGACCATCCCCTGACCAGGAGCCCGCTGCTGTTCGCCGGCCACTAGGGGACCGCTCAGCCACGCCTGGAGCTGGCAGACCTGTTTCTGAGTGTCTTCCTGTCCTGGGGAACAGAGTACAGAGATTCTGTCTCAGTGGACTGCTCAGGTCACCATGCAACTTAAAAAG